GCTGCGCCCCCTCCTTCCTTCCCTTCTTTCTCCCCTTTCCTTGACTCCTACTCCTACTACTTGGAAGGGGGGAATCCTACTCCCGGTGGGAGTAGGACTCCTCCAAGGGCGCGCCATAGAGAGGACCGGCCCTCCCCCTCCTCCACTCCTTTATATACGGGGAGGGGGGCACCCCTTGGAGACACAACAATTGATCCCTTGGATCTCGTAGCCATGTGTGGTGCCCCCCTCCACCATAGTCCACCTCGATAATACTATAGCGGTGCTTAGGCGAAGCCCTGCATCGGTAGAACATCATCATCTTCACCACGCTGTCGTGCTGACGAAACTCTCCCTCAACACTCGGCTGGATCAGAGTTCGAGGGACGTCATCGGGCTGAACGTGTGCTGAACTTGGAGGTGACATACGTTCCATACTTGATCGGTCGGATCGTGAAGATGTACGACTACATCAATCGTGTTATGCTAACGCTTCCGCTTACGGTCTACAAGGGTATGTAGACAACACTCTCCCCTCTCGTTGCTATGCATCACCATGATCTTGCGTGTGCGTAGGAATTTTTTTGAAATTACTACGTTTCCCATCAGCCGAAGCACAGCAGCCGCAGCATTAAGTAGCGGCGATATGGGGAGGCAGCGACAGCTACAAGCGACAGGGAGCAGCATGACAGGGATACGCGGGCGCAAGCGATCGGGGTGACCGAGAGCTCGGACGAATCTCGAGCGGTGCAGGACGACGGGAGCTAACCTATGGGGCGGGGGAAGAAACAAGGGGAGGTCAAGGAGGATCTGAGGCTCACAGCGCAGCTCGGGGAGGGCTCGACAAAGCGAGGGATGGTTGGTAACGAGCGGATCGACGCGATGGATGACGGAGACCGAAGTTGAAGAAGAAGCTTGACCCCAACGACACGGTCGAGTCCGGTTGGATCCAATTGACGAAGGTGAAGAGGTGAACGACGGCGGAGCTTCTGGACACGACCGCAGGGCGCCGGCGCGACGATGGTCGCGACATCCGCGGTCACCACATGAGTTTAGGAGCTCATTTTCGAGCAGATGAGGGGGCATGATGGGGGAATGAGAAGGGATCGGTCGAGAGCAGGCTAGAGTTTTTGTTGGACATGTTTATAGGCGGCCAGGGAGCGTTGATGGTCACGACGCACGCCATGGTCGTGGCCATGGCTGTGGATGTGTGCCACGACCCCCCGTCTGAGGAGGGGGGTGAGGTGGAGGTGGGTTGGGCCTTCCCTTTTGCAAGATGGGCCATAGTGCGAGTAGATTAGTTCCTTCTTTCTCTTCTCTCCTTTTTTACACTTCTACCACTGTTTTCTATTTAGTTGCCAGAGCAAATGAATTTAGTTGAGCTTGAAATTTAGCACAATATTCAAGTGCAATATTTTGGAGTGGCACATAAAGTTTCCAGGCAGTTGGAGTTAAATAAATAATTGTTTATTTTGCAAAGGCCATTTAATTTACTGTTGGACCAAAAATTAATTCCCAGGGGCATTTTGAGAATTCAAAAGAGGTTGGTTCCAACACGACAAATATCCAGGGATTATTAGCCACACTTTGAACATTTTATTTTGCATGTTTGAGAAATTTGAATTTTGGTTAATTTGAATTGGGATTTGGATAAAGTGAGGATCAGTAACAGTAATGTGACGACATGGCATCATTAACGAGGGATTACTATAGCTTAATTATATGTGCGTCACAACTTGATATTCTGATTTTTTTGAAGAAGTTCTCCTTAATCCATCCTGATGTTGTTATTGCATACAGAATTTTACTGTACTAAGAGCTTCTACAGCCGGGCGTCCCAAACCGGCCTCAAATGCCTGGATGACCCGCCCGGTCACAATTTTTTTCAACCCAGACGGGCCCCTCAAATGGGACTCAACCGTCTGAGTTCACCGGCACCGCTCATATCCAGCCCAAAAATGGGGCGGATATGAGGGCGACCGAGAGCGCCCGTGCATGCCCGCCACGTCGGTCTGATGGCGGGGTCCCACACGAAAACTCGGTGGTCCGACGGACGCCACGTGGCGCCGCTCCGGCTCGCCGCCAGAGACCAAATCATGATATTTAAACCGGTCAACGTCCCACAACCCTAACCCATCCACCTCCCCCCTCTTTGTGCCGCCAGTCTGAGCCCATCCACCTCCTCCCTCTCCCGCTCCAGCACTCCACCATGGTCCAGAGGAAGATCACCTACTACACAATGCTCACGTCGGAGCGCCAGTACGAGATCCAGTAGGAGATCTAGGTGAGAGAGGTCGCGCGCGCCGCTCACATTGCTGCCGGGCTGCCTCCGGACTCGCCGGAGCCAAAGGAGGAGGAGGAGTAGTCGGGAGAAGAGGAGGAAGAGGAGTTGGATCCGATGGAGGCAGAGGAGGTGGCGAGAGCTGCTAGAGCAAGAGCTGTCGGGTTTCAACATGGAACAGGCGGACGCGGAGTTCGCCGTCGCCCAATCAGAGAAGATGGCGAAGCAGGAGGCCATCCTAGAGTCCATCCAGGATGAGGCCTATGTGGAGGCCAACCGGGCGTTCCTCCGGCAGAATCAGGCGGCGTCCGACGCGCTCTTCGCCGAACTCGACGCGGAGATAGAGACAGAGGAGGCCGGAGCGGAGCAGCCAGAGCTGTAGCTGGCGCCCATGCTACCAGAGCCGGGCACGGAGATCGCCGACATCTTCGACGACAAGTAGCTAGGTTATCGACGTAGTATGTAGGTTTATTTAGTTTGCATGTTTTTGTATGAATTTAAGAATCGAGTATGAGATGTCTAGATGCAACTCTTAATATTTTTTGAGGGGTCATGACTGTAGATGCTGTAACCATTCCTATCACGGTTGCATGTGCGGAAGGGATCTTTTTCCTAAACTCAAGTTTTGGACAGGACCGACCTCCCGAGGCACCGCACCGCATTGACTACACCGCACCGTTTGGCAGAGAACAGAGGAGCAGAGCAGAACAGAGGAGCAGGCCGCTATACACGAACACCGATCCATCAGGCACCAACCCCAACGCCTCCTCTTCTCCTTCTCCCTCCACTCCACCCCCTCTCTCTGCCTCGTCCTACACACGAACGGAACGGTGCTGATACCCGCGCCGCCGCGCTTTGCAGAGGGAAAAAAAGGCGCTTTCCGAGCAGAGAAAAGATCTGATCGCTTTACGCTTCTCCTCCCCGGGATTTTGATTCCCCCCACGCCATCATCCACCAATCATCGTCGTCGCCAGGTACGTACGTGCCGCCGTTCCTCGTCTCGAGGTTCCGTCGGTCGTCTTCTCGTTCGCCGGCGGGCCTCGTCGAGATTTGCTTTCGTTTTTTTACTCTGGCCAGCGAGACCCGTGCATGTCGCCAGCGAGTAACCGAGTCGTCGCTGATCCGTTGTTTCAGGCGGGCGGCGTGCTAGGACCACGAGTGGGAGTGGGCGTGCCAAGTCAACGCCGGCGGCGGGCCGTGCGCCGGTGATTCCGCGCGCAGATCCGAACAAGTTTGAACAGCGGCGCTGATCGATGGGGTCGTTCAAGGGCCACGTGCTGCCGGGGACGCTGTTCCTGGCGGTGGGCGCGTGGCACGTGTGGGCGGCCGTGGCGCGCTTCGCCATGGACCCGGCCGGGTTCCGCCTCCGCGTCTGGAACCCCGTGGGCGCGGGCGGCGGGGCGCTGCGGCACCTGGAGCTCTACGTCATCGCCGGGGGCGCCTTCCTGGACATGTGCGTGGAGGTGCTCTACTCCACCCACCTCCACATCTTCGCGCCCGGCGGCGGGGTCAACCCGGCGCACCTCAACGACCTCGAGCACGGCGGCATGCTGCTCATGTTCTTCCTCGTCGGCGCCCTCGCCCTCCTCTCCGAGAACACCAGGTCAGCTCACCATCCATCCATCCATCCATCCGTCATCCCGTTCACATGATCCCAAATTCATCCGTCCATTTCTCCTCGGAATTTCATTCATCTCCTCCTCTTTTTTCACTCGACCGTGTGAAGCAAGAGGATCACAATTTTTTGAAAAAAGAAAATCATTCTTGAATTTTGGTTTTCCGAAAAAGATCGATCGATCGGTTTATGAATTTGCGGATCTGGAAAAGGAAAGGAGGTGAGATGGTTGTTGGGCTTAGTTGGTTGATGTTTTGACTTCCTTGGTGTCGCACCTTGAATGTTCCAAGGACAGGACGGGCCAGAGGGAGAAGGATTGGCTAATCTGGTCCAGGCTAGCCCATGTGGTCACGAGCTAGTCTCCAAGTTGGCTAGCGCTAGTAGGAGTAGCAGATTCATTTGGCAAAATTTTGCTTGCAAAATTCGGGGGTGTTCAAAGGCTTTGTTTACTTCTGTATAATCTAGACTCACCTGTTCTAGAATGGATGACCCCGTTGGCTCCACGAATATTCAAATGGAGGTTCTTCTTGTGAGCTGTGAGTGCTCTTTTTTTTATTTGAAACGGAAGATTCTTCCCGTGAGTGGCCATTGCTTTCAGGACAAAGTCCAAGTCAGTGTGCAGATGAACTTGGCTAAAGCTTATCAGCTCAATTAGCTCATCATGCTTTAGCTTGACAGGAAGAAGACATCATATTCCATTGAGAAGCTTCGTTTCTATATATACTTCTAATTTCTTTAGTAGTGGGGGCCATCTCTGTCACTTTGTGAGCAGATAAGATATACAACCTGATGACTCTGTTTCACATTCCATGGTACCCGAGGGTCCTACCTTGATCGTTCTCAGTGGAGTTTCTGTGTAGCCTTTTTGCCCTGCAATCATACTGCCGTTGTGTTTCATCTTGTCCATGCACGCAGCCATCTATTGTTATGATTGTTAGAACGAAATAGATGTACATCTCATCGTAAAAGTACACAGCACAGTGAGCTCACTTGGGCTTTGATCGGCGATCAGGTACCTGCCCCTGACGGAGGGCGCGCTGTGCCTGCTGGCGGCTACGGCCTTCACGGCGGAGCTGCTGCTCTTCTACTTCCACTCGACCACGCACCAGGGGCTGGAGGGGTACTACCACTACCTCCTGGTGCTGCTCGTCGGGCTCTGCGTCGCCTCCAACGTCCTCGGCGCGCTCCTCCCGGCGAGCTTCCCCGCCGACCTCGCCAGCGGCCTGCTCATCACCCTGCAGGGCCTGTGGTTCTACCAGACGGCGTTCACGCTCTACGGGCCGATGCTCCCCGAGGGGTGCCACCGCGACGCCGGCGGGGACATCGAGTGCCACGGGCACGCCGCCGGGGAGCGCGCGGAGCAGCTCGCCGACTTCCAGCTCTTCGCCTACGTCTTCCTCGCGTTCGCCTACGCCCTCGGCTGCTACGCCGTCGCCGCCGCCAAGTACGGCCACCCGGACCTGAGCACCGTCGAGATGGAGCACCGGGAAAATGGTGGATTCGTTGGTAGCTCGGAGCTGTCTAGTGGTGGCATATGAATGATATGACTTCGGCTCTGTTTTTGCCATTGTCGTCTTGTTGGATTTGGTAGAGTACACGCGACACGCACATCATTCGGTACAAGGCTAGAGTGGGCTGTACATTGGGGCTAGTTAATTACACAGAAAAATCACGGATCGACGTTCCTTAGTTTTACTGTGAAGATTGTTTGACTTTTTTACACGAGAGGATTAGCATAAGACTATACGAGAGTGTTTTTTCTACTAGCAAAAAGTTTGTTTTTGTACACCAGATCTGTTTCTGTCTGCCTTCAAGTATACCATCTGTTCACGCGGACCTTGAGAGTTCTTCAACTTGTCACACAAAATAGATGTGCTTAGCCTATGATATACTTCTATACTACAACCGAGCTGATTGGCTAGGACCTTGGAAGTTTCCCAACTACTTTAGTGATCTAAAAAATCTTGTATTTAATTATAGAGGAAGTAATTAATATTCTATAAGCCGTTAGGTTGCTAAGATTCAGTGGCTAAGGGCATCTCCACGAGTTGCTAAGGGCATCTATACGGTAGATAGAGCCAACCTCCTCCCCATCCGCTCTCCCCCCTCGCGTCGCCCCCGCGGGCGGCTGAGCGGGGCAACCCTAGCCGTTGGCCTTCTTCTTCCCCCTCCCGTCTCCCTCCCCCGCCGCCACCGGCTAGCGCCGCTGGGCAAAGCCCTGGTGGCGCCGGCGCCGACGGGAAGCTTTCCCCCCTTTTTTGCTCAACCTAGGGTTGGCGATGGACGATCTGGCCGGGTAGGGGCGCCGCGCTCGCAAGGGGTCGGTGGCGCGGCAACAGACGCGGGTGGTGACGGCGTGCGCGGCGGCGCAGGCGGCGGGGCCAAGTGCGTGAGGGGGTTGTGCGGCGGCTTTGCGCGGCGGCTCTCTGGCGGATGCGGGCGCCGTCGGGTCACCCGATCTTGCGCCCTGGTGGGCGGCAGGCCGTGGAGGCCTTGTCCAGGGCGCTACGGGGAGCGACTGCTCACTCTTCGGGTGGGCGGCATGGTGGGCGGTGGACTCGGGCCGGCGGCTTGGATCTGGGCCAGATCTAGCAGGGCGGCGCGGGTTCGGCGATGTGGTGCTGCTCGGGATCCCTCGGGCGGCAGTGGGGCAGCCTGCTGCTCCTTGGCAGCGGTGGTTCGTGCTTCAGGAGGTCAGTGCTGACGGTTTGTTTCTCTGGCGTGTCGTGATGGTGCGGATCCGGTATGCGGTGGTGGATGTCGTTCGTCGGCGCGCAGGTGCAGGGAGCCGACTTGGTCCGCACGGGTGCAAGCTTGTGCGTTAGTGCTCTTCTCTCTTGTTGCGTTGTGCTGGCGTCGACCCGAGGTTGCTCGTCGAGCGTCGCTGTGCCGTCGGACAGACCGGCACCATTGACCACGGACATGGCGTCGTTCGAGCGTGCTCGCGGTGGCCGTTGGTAGTCACCGGGTTGTCTCCCCCCGGTCCACCGGGACCGGATGGGGATATAGGCATGGGTGCTTCCTACTGTAGAGGTGCCGACCCAAACCGGCTGGCTGATGCCGGGCTAGGAGTGAAAGGTGGTCCCTTTCACTCGTACTACTTTGGTCGAGTGCTCGTGACGGAGATGGTCGGCGGTTCCTAGGGGCATGGATGCCGGGGCGGTGGCCCCGGACGGTGGGCCTCACGGTTGGCTTTCTGGCAGTCATGGTGGCGGTGGTGGCTCCAGCTTTAGGTCGTGAGGGCGACTAGGGATGTAGTGGCGGGAGGCCCAGGACTGCTCTGGCAGTGCCCAGATCTAGGGTAGGCAAGCTTGACCCTCGTTGTGGTAGTGGCCGGGTCTCCTCATGGTGGTGCAAGCGAGTGACCGAGCGAAAGCTCCGCGCTGTTGGCGCCGAAGACGGCGACGCCTGTGGGTGTCGCTTGCTTCTTGAAGACGACGTCGTGGATCTCGTACCTGTGCCAGGGCTCACGGTGAAAATCGTTGTCGGCTCTCAGACTCAGCAGCGCCGACGCTGTGTTGTCTTTGAGCTCAGGGGTCCTTGGCCGAGCCTCGGCGAGGTGTTAGGCTTGTTCTAGGCTTATGTTTTATTTGTTTGATCTGCTATGCAAGGGGGCCTCCCCACCATATTGTATCATTCGGCCATGTATTCTTGTTTGTTGCTTTAAAAGCGGGGCGAAAGCCTATTTCGAGAAGGGCATCTACACGGGCTTAGGCATCTCCAACGCTCAACCTCAGATCGGAGATCATATCCATCTGTGGGTCATTGAAAACCAGTTTGCGGACTGTGATGCGGGAGCCGGCCATCCAACTGTCTCCACTAAACTTTCGCCCAGGCCCGACCAATTTCAAATTCGAATGCATGGCGCCAGATTACATAGCACACGCCAGATCACAACAAAAAAAGCAAATATGCATAGTTTTTACATGCCTGGTCACAAAAGAATCTTAGTCCGTAGTTCGTGCAAAAATTGATTTTTTTTGCGTCACTGGACCGGCTATTCAAGCCTCCACACTCACTCTGCCACCGGCTCCTCCTCACTATCCGCCCCCTTCTCAGTTGTCTTCGTCTCAACCGCCATGTGCTTCAACATCATAACACAGACAACCTGTACCATTATCCTTGCATCGTCATTCAAATCCTCAATCTTCAAGCGCAACATCTCATGTCTTCCGAAGCAGACACAGTCTCAACCTTGTTCTCATTGAGCTTGAGCTTCTTCTTGGTCGCTGTCATCAACATGTTAAACCTCTTGGTCTTTTTTTCCTGCATGACATCGGAGCGCTTGACATATTTTTTTTCGAAAAGGGGGACTCCCCGGCCTCTGCATCAGAACGATGCATACGGCCACCTCAATAAATAAAATAAGTTCAACAAAGTCATATAGTCTTCAACAAAATAAAAGCAAGCTCACCTAGAACCTCGAAGCTAAACCAAGAAAAAACCATAAGCCAAGAAAAAGCCATAAGCCACAACCGGCTGGTAAAATGAAGATAGGAAAACTAATTGATTATCATATTACATGACCGCCAACCAAACCGGTTGAAGATATCCCGCGCTACCATCTTCCACCGGACAGATCCAGTAACCAAACGCTCCCCGGCCTCCGTCGGAGTGAGTAAGGACCACATACGGATCAGCGCCGTAGCATGGAATACAACCTGCAAAAAATGAGTAGTAGTTATTCTGTTAAAAACCAAGTCATTTCTGCAGTTCCAAATTGCCCATAACAACGCATACATTCCTACACGAATATGCCTAGCTGCATCGGACTCTATCCCATCCAGCCACGTTCCAAATAATGACCCAACCGTACTCGGAGGAGTAATGTTAAAAGCAATTTGCACAGAGCGCCACAGAATTCTCGCCAAAGGACAATCAAGGAAGAGATGCTTAATGGTCTCATCATGATCACACAAGCTACACCTAGTAGATCCAGTCCAATTGCACTTGACCAAGTTGTCCTTTGTTAAAATTACCTGTTTATGGACAAACCACATAAACACTTTAATTTTCAAAGGCACTTGTACTTTCCACACATGTTTGGTACTAGGAATAATGGTGGAGTTGATGACATCGTTGTACATCGACTTTACAGTAAATTGTCCATTCCTAGTAAGCTTCCAACAAAGCTGATCGGGCTGCTGAGCTAGCTGAACTTCCATCAGTCTACGCACCAGATGGAGCCAAGCTTCCCATCTCTCACAAACAAGCACCCGCCGAAACTGAATATTAAGGGGAGTGGACTGCATAATCGTTGCAACTAGCGCATCACGTCGCTGGAAAATACGATACAGGGTTGGGTATTGTATTGCTAATGGTGTATCACCCAGCCAATTGTCCTCCCAGAAACGTGTGGCATTGCCATCACCGATGATAAACTTTGTTCTATTAAAGAAGGTTGCCTTGACTCTCATAAGCCCCTTCCAAAACGGCGAATCAGATGGTCTCACTGTCACCTGTGACAAAGTTTTGGACTGCAGATACTTGTTACGAAGAATCTGCGCCCACGTTGCATCAGTCGGACGCGAAAGCTTATACAACCACTTACTAAGCAGACATCTGTTCTTGACCTCAAGATTTTCGATACCCAGCCTCCCTTGGTCCTTTGGTCGACAAATGACATCCCACTTGGCGAGTCTATACTTTCTCTTAAGTTCATCACTCTACCAAAAGAATCTTGATCGGTAGAAGTCCAGTCTTTTCCTAACCCCAACTGGAACCTCAAAGAAAGATAGTAGGAACATCGGCATACTCGTGAGCACCGAATTAATAAGAATTAACCGGCCTCCATATGACAAAAGTTTGCCCTTCCAGCAACTAAGTTTCTTTTCAAACCGATCCTCAATGCATTTCCACTCTCGGTTTGTAAGCTTACGATGGTGAATGGGTATACCTAGGTAGGTGAAAGGTAAAGCCCGTAATTCACATCCAAACAATTGCCTATAAGCCTCCTGGTCCTCCTTGGCTCTACCAAAGCAGAACAATTCGCTTTTATGAAAGTTAATCTTTAACCCAGACAATTGTTCGAATAAGCAAAGCACCAGCTTCATATTTCTCGCTTTTGCCAGGTCATGCTCCATAAAGATGATTGTATCATCAGCGTACTGCAGAATGGACACCCCCCATCAACTAGGTTGGGCACCAGGCCTCCCACCTGACCGGCCTCCTTTGCTCGACCTATTAGAATTGCCAACATGTCAACCACAATGTTGAACAAAACAGGGGACATTGGATCTCCTTGCCTCAGACCCTTGTGTGTTTGGAAATAGTGCCCAATATCATCATTTACTTTAATTCCAACACTCCCTTTTTGCGTAAAGGATTCTACCTGGCGTCGCCAAGCCTCATCAAAACCCTTCATATGCAAGGCCTGTTGAAGGAATGGCCATTTGACTTTGTCATACGCTTTTTCGAAATCTACTTTGAAAACAACCCCATCCAGTTTTTTCGTGTGGATTTCATGGAGCGTTTCATGAAGGACCACTACCCCCTCAAGGATATTCCTGTCCGGCATGAAAGCAGATTGGGTAGGCTGCACAACAGTATGCGCAATCTGTGTGAGTCTATTGGTCCCGACCTTGGTGAAAATTTTGAAACTAACATTAAGAAGACAGATTGGCCTGAAT